ACACTGCTTTGAAAATCATGTACTGTACTTTTCTACTAAGGCCGACCATCGCCGAATCGACACATCAATTAAATTATACAAGGATCAATTAATCAGCTCATACGAAGTATCTCAGTATATACGTAGGAAACACTTTCTATACTAACCGCTCAATTCTTGAAAGGAACGATCTTTCGTAGGAGATGCTTGGTTTTCTTGATCTTCAACCGTACTCCGCGCTGAGTCGTCGATGCGAACTGGATCAGATTCAACCGTGTTCTGCGACACTGAAGATTCAGTCGGAACCGCTCCTTCATCACTTAGAAGTACAGGTGTGACAACTTCCGCTGCGCCATACAAGCGATCAACAGTTTCAACTGTACGGACATCAATCAATTCCGTTTCATCGGTCCGTGTAACTTCCACAGTGGTTTCGTGGGATTCTTCGACAACTGTTCCTGAGTTGCTAGTCAATCCAACATCGCCTACGACGCATTGACCTTCTTCAGCTTTCAACAAATCATCTGAAACTACCTCTGCTTCTTTGGAGACCATTGGACTACTTTCGCGCTCTCGTTCCGAAAAAGACTCTTCCGCTTCTTCTTCGGAGACCATTGGAATACTCTTGCGCTCTTTTTCCGAGAAGGACTCTTCAGCTGCTTTAGGTTCAACGATTTCTTCTTGATCAACTGGAAGTGAGGCATCACACTGCGATACTCTCGTCACTACTGCCTCTGCGTCCGCATTGCCGGTTGTTGTACACGGATCAATATTTTCTTCGTTCTCCGCCTCGTCGTCGTCGTCACTACAATAAAAATCCCGAATCAACGCCAGAGCACCATGTACAGGGTTGGCTGTTCTTGAATCAGACACACAAGGATCCTGTTCTGCTTCTCCCGAATGTGTCTCCGTCACGGAAACTGGATTCTCGACGGACTCAGCGACGGGATCAGCAAGCTCTTTCGCGTTCACGGCGGATTCCTCTTCGCATTCATCATCATTCGCTGGATGTTTTATTCCGTCGTCATCACTTGGGGCAAGTATTATTTTTGGTACGGCGTCATCAGAAATGTTTTGCGGAATGATTTTCTCCTGAAGCTTGTCATACGACGAGGTCTCCTGCATGTCATCCGGTTCATGGTCAGGCGCAATGAATTGCCTAGAACGGAGAAAAACAGAAAAATTTATGAACGATTCAGATAAAAAAGGCTACGTCAGGCTGAACAACGTTCAAACAGAAAAAATGCTACACGCGATAAGGTATTCGGCTCGACTGGAAATCAATCGATATGCAGCTATATTGATGATGCCACTGTTTAATGATGGTCCATTCTGTTAGCTTGATTTAATGGTTACCGTACATTAAAACACCGCAGTCAACTTACAATTTCGATTCATCCGTTGATTCCTGAGTATCGTTCGGTAGAATTTCCGCAAACGCATCGTCTCTTGAAATGCTGTCTGCTTCCTCGCAGGCATCGCTTTTATCCTCACATGCATTACTTGAATTTTGTTCCTCAGCTGTTTTAGATTCAACAATTTCAACCATAGCTTCTGTCGGGAGGAAATCATCCAACGGGACAGAAACTTTCGCTTCATCAGCCTGCATATCTGTGCTAAACGAATCGAATTCCATAGATTCATCCCTGGGCATTTCAACAACGGTCATCTCCTCGGGTGCCGTCTTGATAGAAGATCCTAATGATCGATCACAGTCCTCTTCCTCATCTGGTCGGTCATCGTCCAGTTCCGCTTCTACATTTCCATCATCCTCCAGCTCTGACTCGGAGGCTAAAATTTCTTCGCCATCCGAACCATCTTGGTCACTTTCCAATGAGTCGTCACAAACTATCGGCGGTGTCACAAAGGAGCTGACGACATCGTCTTCATCGCGCGGGAAGATAGACGGCAAAACAGTAGGTACTCGCACAGCAGGGGCATTTTCCGAAGACTGAAAAAGGTTGCCAGAGGATTCTATCGGTGACTCATATTGATGAGTTTCTGAAATTATTCCCAGCATCTCCGGTGGGGCTTCCGTGACTATCGCCGAATCGTAAAGGTGGGATTGATCATCGGAAACTATAGCTGTCTGGAAAACTTCTGAAGATCCTTCAGCAGCGAGCGCAACTGGGTCAACGGCCAATAGCTCACCTCCACACAGCTTCTTAAAAATATGAAAACAATTTTATTATCTTGCATAACAAGGCATCTGCGATTTCCCAACGCACATAATTTTCAAAGTCAAATTTTCCTTTACTTGCACATTTCAATTTCCTTTCAAGGCGCGCAAATGAATATACAGTATAAATATACAGTATTATTGAATTTGAGTCAAAAGAAGGGTGTCTCTCCGCTTCTTTTCATTAAAAAAGCGAGGGGGGGGGTTTATTAATTCGGCATCAAAAGAATACCATAATTGTTCGGCCCCTGAGAAAAGGGAAAGTTCGCCGCCAATATTGGACAAAAATCGGGGCGGGCACTTGAGATATGAGAATAAATTAGCGTCATCAGGAAATCAATTGTACGTCCCAATGATATAGCAAGGGAAGAAAGCTCGTGGTGTTCTCAAGAAAATAAAGAGAATGTGGATACATAGGTAGTCATGTAAGCCGAAATCTTCTACTGCACCACTAACGTTTCAAATGAATCAGATTTCAGGACATTCCAAGCGTTCAAAATTGAGAGATTACACTCTTCGCCATTTTCCTTCATCTGCAAACACACACTCAGGTATGATTCCTTCTTGCTCAGCATTTTCTGACAGTGTACTCGCATAAAAAATATGAAACATAATCAACGCCAAGATACTTTCGGACCCCAAATTTATAAAAAAATCGGTATTGCTTGGTTGGGCCTTATAAATTTCTAATCGATGGAAACATGAAAATGGAACTGTACGAGTCTACGAGATATACGTTATTGCAGGTCTCAATTAAATGACCTTCCATCCAGAATGGACACCATCCCGAATAGACTGAAAATAACCCCGTTTTACCTCATGAAACGAAACCTGCTCAACGACTGATGGGATTTTACGCTGAAATGGATCATGATAACCAACAACGGAATGTTGACAAAATATCCTTCAGAATTTGCACCAATCTTCAAAACCCAGCGTTATAATACATGCACTACAGCTTCGCCTGTTTTTGCGACCGTTTGCGACGTTAATGTGAATAACAAAAATTTACCTGCGGGTCGACGTGAATCGGAACGTCTTCAAAATATATCGCCGTTCCTTCAGCTCCCAATGACTCGGAAGACATTGTCACAGCTGCGGGAAATTCAGGTGGTACGACATCCCCGGAACCAAAATCCATCCCTTGGGACGCACACCAATCAACGGAGAGCATGGAAATCGGTGGCAAGACGTCACTCGCGACACTGGTAACTACCGACAACGGTAAAGGTATCAAATCAGGAATCTCAGACGGCAACTCGGTCAAGGTGCTCATCGCCGCAGCAACAGCTTCCTGCTGCTGCTGCTCATGGTCTTCGTCCAAGGACATGATGATCTGGTCAACAGCCCCCTGTGATTCCTGGTCGTCGTCATCTGAGAAGTCCGCGGACATGCCCCCAGCCACAGGCGACGGAATGCGCGGAACGGGAATCGCTACATATTTCTTATGTTCCTCAACAACTTTCTTTTCTTCGATAACAATCGGCACCGGTAACACAGGAGACTCGGGAACGGCTTCAACAACCGTGGCGGTAGACTTAGCACGACCACGAGACGTTCTGCAGATTCTACCACGACTACGGCCACGACCACGTTTCCGTCCGCGGACAATCGGAGCTGGAGCCGGAACTGTAACAGGCGGCGCAGGCTCGTCACCTGGTAACGGTGGTTCACTGCACAACGAACGCGCCATATCTTCCTCTCTTTTAGCTGATATTTCTAAGGGGCATCCTAAAGGTTCATCTATAGTTTCAACTATCGTGGTCTCCGTCACTGATGAGCTGTCCTGGGTTGTTGACTGGAGCCTATGAAGTAAGAACAACACTAAATGAAACCGTTTTCAATAAAAAACCAACTTCGGACCGAAGTGAGTCGTTACACGAATCCACCACATGGAACGAACTCATTCTTTGTTCGACAGTCTAACGAATTTAATAACACTATCATGGGTTCACGTTATTTTGAAGTACTGATCACACACCAGGAAAATGTAAGCTCGACGATGCAGAGACATTTTCGCGATTGATCAAAAATCGCGAGAAATTTAAAGTACTGTATACATAAACGCTATGCCCGCATTTTTGCCATCAATTTTGTACATAAATTGAACTCACAGCCTTTCCTCGAGGGCGATTTCAGGAGGCGAAGGTAGAACGGGTGGAGTTGTTTCTCTAAGAAGCGAATGATTGTCCGGAACAAAATCATCTTGCCGTGTCCACTGTCTCGAAACAAACGAAAGCTTAATAGGCTTCAACGGTGACTCGTGCCGGTCCTTCTTCCGCTTCTTCTTCTTGACCGGCGATGTAAGAGACTCGGAGTTATCATCCACTTGAACATCGATTTCCGGCACTCTCGGCTCGCCCAGGCTAATGCGTATCTTGAGGCCTTCTACGGCCCTTACGGCCGATACAGGTTGTTTCGCGTTTTCCGATTCGCCATCTAGCCTTTGCTTCTTTTTCTTTTTCTTCTTCTTCTGCACCCAGCCGCCTGGCTCGGAAAGTTCCGTGCCCCATGAGATCTTGAAAGAGGCCTCGGTCTGCTTCTTTATGCAGAGCTTCGGTAAAGGAGGCTCTGCTTCCATGTGAACTCAGCTTACGTTGGATCACAGTCCGCACATACCGCACAACCTCATCGAGCGCGCGGCCAACCAACGGATTGCTGGCTCGTTCCACTTCCGCTTTAAACTTTAGGCGGTGTCCAAGACATCGACTGTCTCACGTAACACCGATTCGCATTGCTAACATTTCCGATAAATGTCCAGTAATCTGCAGTATGTACAAGATATTCTGAGAATTTTTAGGACGAAACATTGCGGAACTCGCTCACGCAACAGTTGACTCGATATGTTACTTCAGCTTTCAGAAACGTTTTATTTATTCGGAATATCACGCATCAACGCGATGCAAATGTCGAACTAAAATATGAAAATTATAAAAACGCAGGAATTGTAGCAGCATCTAGATCGAAGTTACTATCTGAAAAACCGTGCGAACGAATATAATTAGGTGAACCGAACGTTCGAGTTAGGCACAATTCAGAAATTTCCTAGTTTCCTGATACGACAACGAGCACGCCTAACAGATCCACTGTTTTTTAAAACGCACTGTCACTCAGCACGAAAATCAATTTCAGCACGAGAACAGCATTTAAAGTCACTTTTAAACACTCTCCATTACAACGCGGATACGGAACACAAATGCACGCAATTGACAACAATTTAACCCCTGCAAGGACAAATCAAGAATTGCATTACTGCCGAACGGTGAACTCTCGTAAGAATACGATTCCACAACTCGTCAAGCGAAGAAAAGGCTCCACTTTTCATTCCAGTACGCTTGACACAAAAAAGATTGAACGAATAAAGAAAACGCGGATCGCATGATCATGCCTCTACGCTGATGGAAGCGAAGCTGTGGTAAAACGCCACATCTTTAGGAATTTCGGCTCGTGGGGACGTCAACAATATTCTCGCGTTCTCTGACTCGCATCAATCAATCGAATGTTTACACTTTACAATAGTACCTAAACATGTCCACATCTTCATTCGGCACTCCATTGCGCAAATCCCTTGTGAGACAGAAAACAAGGACCGCGCAAAGGAACGAAACACATCCATGATCATGAAAAAACAGATAAGAACTCCCGAATCCAAGGAGTAAATCGCTCGTTCCCCAAATTTGTTATAGGCTTAATCTCTGTTTATTTTCTTCTGAAGGTTAGGTGAGACAGATGTGGTCAATGGAAACGGGTACGATCCAAGTTGAACTCGGCCTGCGAAAGATCTGGAAGTAGCAAGGATTTCGATGGTGGCACGAATTCCTCTGCGCTCCCGTTATCGACGTCGCGTCTTACTTCGTTCCCTAAGCATAAAATTAAAAATTTTAATACATCACTCCTTAAAAAAATATTTTAGCTGTACAGTATATGAATTACAACGACTAGTCGACTCACACTTCAGATGAGCAGAAACTGCGCAGTTATCGAATACCTGTACTATAATATTCGACAAGATTTTCGAAACTCAAAATACTCACCGTATTTACCGGCTGAGTAATACCCGAAGCAGCAGCAACAGCAGCGGCAGAAGCAGCAGCCTTTTGCTTGAGCATCGTCCAGTCAAAGGTGTAATCGTACTGATGGTTCAAAGTACGGAATAGGATGCGAAAGATCTGTCGCGCATACATGTAGTCTGGCGGTTCATCAAACCGGAGTCCACGGCAGTAGTTCAGATACATCGCGAATTCCGCCGGAAATCCCTTACACAAAGTCTCCACTGGGGTAGACATTTTCTTCTCGCTGATCTTTTCATACTTCTGCTTCTTGGTTGCAGCCTTCAAACCTTGCCATGGCAACATTCCCCGGTTGAAATACATCAAAACGTAACCGAGAGATTCCATGTCATCACGTCGGCTAAAAAGAAAGCAACACATCGATACCCATAATTCGAACTTCGAAATAAATAAAAAAAATACCTCTGTTCAATTCCGAGGTGAGCATTAATCGACGCATATCTCGCCGTGCCCGTCAGGTTTTTATCTTCCCTGTAGGGTATATGACACCTGGTTCGTGTGTCCCGGAATTTCTTCGCAAGCCCATAGTCGATCAAAAACAACTATCGGAAAGAAAAATCGTTTAGTTCGGAAGTTCCCAAAAAAAAGCTGATAAGTTTTACCTTGTTACAGTGGCGGCCGATTCCCATCAGAAAGTTATCGGGCTTAATGTCACGGTGGATGAAGTTCTTGTTGTGTATGTATTCAATTCGACCTATCATTTGATCGGCTAACATGAGGACCGTCTTCATGGTAAAACGACGCGCGCAAAAGTTGAAGAGGTCTTCCAAAGAGGGTCCCAACAAGTCCATCACAAGCACATTAAACGTGCTTTCGTGGCCGTACCACCTTGAGAGTGAACGTAACATTAGAAACAGGATGAGACATTCATTAAAATAGTTGCTTTGAAGGAATGCCCGTATGCAGTATAATACTGTAGCTGATTTCTTCTGAATTACATACCGGATGTGGGGAATTCCTACGCCACTTTGGAGGATCTTGTAAACCTTGTATTCATAATGCAACTGAGGATGCTTCGCTGGCATTTTCTCCAATTTCACAGCCACTTCCTGGAAGGCGACGAAAAAAAACATAGGAGACGGAGTGCGAACAGAACACCAAATGATTTATACCTCTCCATTGGTGATGTTGATGCCAAGATATATTTCGCCGAAAGAGCCGCTGCCGATTTTACGGACGACCCTATACTTCCCTCCTACGATGAAGTCACGAACATTCCCTGATCCCGTCGCCATGGTCGCGAAAACGTTATCTGCGACGCTTGGACACAGCAGGAATTTTTATCCGACTATGAGGATCCCCCTCGTAGGTGGGTTCCCTTTGCAGAGAAACAATTCGGGGTATTTTCACTTAAGATACGAGGTACAAAATAATACTCTTCGAAAAAGTCTTGAAAAATGCCGTTGCATACGGCGTCAACGACACAAATTGTCACGAAGGAATCGACTTTCCGCACATGTTGCATTCATCAGCACATTCTAGCTCGTTTCAGACGTCAGAAACAAGGCTATCAGGGATAAATTTGGAACGATAATCATGTAAAGAATCGAACAGAGACAGCCATCACCCTACAGACGAAGGCAGACTTTTTTACTGCTTCCTCAGCTCAAACGAAGAACATCCCTCCGGCTGCAGTCTGAAATGGACTGTTTCTAAAAACCACAACACACCTCTTCCACAAAAGAAACTATCGAAGGTTTCACCTTAGGCTAATAATGGATCCTCGCAAAATGTGGCATTCATTCAAACACAAATTAATTAACGTTCCACGCGAAAGTCGAGAATTGCGGAATATTTGTGTCGTCAGTCCTGTTAGTCTGATACGATAGAAACCGAATTGGGCCATAGACAAAAACTATGTACAGCGTTCGTTGGGTTTAATTTATATCGTGCTGCACTATTCAGTAACTGAGATCTTCCGATTCCTTATCATTTCAGGCCCAATTAGAACAAAATCTCGAACTTAATCACCATCCTCCGAAGCGAAATTTCATGCACGAGGTAAATAGAATCACCTTCAACGACGATCATTCTTGATTTCATTCGGATAACCCAAGCTAGATGATAAAAAAAATGTGTCACAATTCTATGATTGAGCAACAACACAATAACAGACAGGGCGAAGCCATCTTTGATCAAGCTCGTCTTCGACTTTTTACTCATGAGGCGTGCATCATATTTTCCAATGATCCTGTTTCTTGTCTCATGAGCCACCCATAAATTCTCATTATGGCACAGTGAAAAAAAATACTATATTGTGGAGTACTTGTCTCCCCAAATTATTGTACACATTCATGTCAATGTTGGAGGGGCAAACAAATCCATAATTTCTATCATGTTTACAGTATTTGGAAATTTCAGCAGCTTAATTGAATAAGTACAAATCCAACTCATTCAAGCAGCAATTGATTCTTATCAAATTTCCAAAATAAAAAAAATTGCATCTTGTGCAAGATATTCAGTTGTTTATAGACAATCAGCAAGTAAAACAGCTAATTTCCGCATGATTTGATTTTATCAAATTGATTATTTATTTCAATTCAATGATTGCCTAACTTCACTTACTGAGCCACCATGTAAATCTATGATTGTTTGGAGATAGCACAACAGGTGATACCTTTCAATTTGACCATCCTGCAATTCAATGGTTGAATTTGCTGGGAAGTTGACTTGCAATTCAACCCTTGCTCCACAATTTGACCTCCTTTTTCTTTACTTATATTTTCAAATTTCAGTGTCTACAAATTTGACCCTAGTTTGGCAATGGATTAGGGTCAAATTATGAGGCAGTACCTATACTTAATAAGGTGGGCTCTCTCTCTACAATGAGCTTGAAGAGACAAGAAAACAAATTCTTGCAGAAAATATGCCTGAAACTCAGAAGGGGGGATCCCTGTAAATATAATCCAGGACTGGAAGATTTGTTTCACAGAGAAAATTGTTGTAGACAAGATGATTGTTGAGAGAGTCCACCTGTACTGTTGTAGCTGAAGAGTTTTATTTTAACAGTGGTGTAACAGATCACAGCATTCAAGTACCTTTCCTGGTATCCTGTTCTTCCTATTATTAATGGGAGGGTTTCAGATAGTTGGTTGAAAAATTTTGTTTACCTCAGATGCATACCATCCGTCCCTTCAAACTGAAAAAACCAAAATAAAAAAATGGTTTTCGCCAACATTACCCTGAAAAAACAGAAAAACTTGGGAAGTACGCATGGAATGTAAAAAACGCCATCAGCAGGATTCACACTTCGGCGATAAGAAAAAAATTACATGAAAGAAAGCTCAATATTAGCGTATATCTGGAATGGATTTCATTCATCGGCAACATGGTTCCACTAAGGGATTCACAATGAACACGAAATACACTTTCGATCGATATGCTGGATCAAATACTCACAAATAATAAAATCGTCTTAGAAGAATTTTTCACAAAACGTTGAGCAAACGTTTTGGAAAAGTTCAAAGAGAACATAGCGATCACATTTCGCAAGAAATCATTCTTAAATCAATGTGAGAAAATCTCACGCGTATGGAATTCTTTGGAATCAATCATCAGAATATCTTTGCAGGATGACAAATTGAGAAGGATTTGCCGGCGAGTTGGCTTCCGATGTACAAGAAACGAGGCTGCGTTCATCGACCTCTTCTGATGAAGAAGAAAAAAACATCATTAGGTAATCTTCCATAAAACTCATATTGTGTACAATGGTGCATCATACAACGAGCCTATACTCCGTTCCAATAAAGGGTCATTTTTCCTTTTCAATGATACTGTACGTTTTTTACCGGGGACACGTTTTCCCAACAAAATATACAGGGATAAAACCAATGCTTTCGAGGAATAGCACCAAAAAACACAGTAATTCCTTCGCCGCGGTTTATACAAGTAGCCGAGGGCTTCAAAAAGTTGAAGGCATTCTTCTCAGAAGCAAAGATTCGTTATTCGAGACATTTTTTTTTTTTGGTTTGCTCGACGCCGCATCACATACTCATAAACCTTATACTGTATGCACCATGAAAGAATCTGCGGAATGGAATTTGCTTGTAAATGTAAATGCATGTCGGGACTGGGATCGACTAGACTAGAGTACTGTAACTAAACCAGCATAATGGGTCTTCAACCTGAGCACCCCGAATCACTTCGAGACTTTACATGGGAATTCTCATGGGCTCCGCAGCAGCCCCACAAAAACATCTCGCACGACATTGTTTAGGAGGGTCAACAGATACATACTGTGCATGTTTATGAATATATATGCATAAATGCATCTTAAAAATGGCTTAGCGGGACAAAAAGTTCGAAAAACTCTGTTCTAGCATCACTCAGGGTTTACCAAAATCTTCCGGTGCTTCATCTGTGTCTGAAGAACAAGAAACCGCGGTCTGCCGTTCTTCGAAAGCGTCTGGATTCAGATGCGCACCTATTGGTTCATCGTCATCCGGAGAATTCAGGCAGGTTTGAATCAAGGCCTTTCCAGCATCTGAAGTTATCATCGGCTGCAATTTCTTCGTAGCAAACGTGTACACGTGTCCGGTCTCGCTTGCAACCAACAACATCACTTCAGTTCCAGTAAGTTCGGATAACTCGTAAGCTTTTTTCATCAATCCAGCTTTCCGTTTCGAGAAGCAAATCATTCTCCTAAAAATAACAAGGACGTGATTTCAGTTAAAATCAAACCTCTTCTAGTCACATCAGCACCTACGAAATCATTCAAGATACAGCAACACTACCATAGTACAAACTATATTTTAGAGAGTATATTATAGACATTTTATAAATTTAATGTAGCTTGCAATATTTTTTAAAGCGGAAATTCTCTTATCTCTTAAAAAAATACTCAAGTTCCAAGACTCACTTCTTTTTTTCGCCTATCAGCTTCATATTGATTTTCAGGCGACCTCGCGTTTTCTTTACTTTAGGAGCCGGAGCACGATCATCTTCACTGGGAGGCGTCATAGACTGAATCCCAGGTACTTCCGTCATCTTCCAATTTCAACATGCATTCCACCACTACTCTTATCTCTCGGGAAGAGAACAATACAGTACTGTACTTGAAGAATTGAACATAGAAAACAAAATGTATCACTGAAAATCTTGGTAATTGAAGTCAACTCGGAAGAAATGGAGAAAGAAGCCACGTGGCGAGCTTTGATTTTCGCTCCACATCACCAACAAGGCAAGATACGAATTTGAAAATAATACGCCAAGATATACGTCAAAAAGAACATATCCAAGAAAAAAAGACATTCTCGCAACGCAAAAAGAAGCCACCACGAATTCGTAATAAATTTTGGTCATTCTATCGCCAAAAAAAAAAAAACCACATTCAAACATTTCCTACTGTACAAATTAAATGGTACAGTATTACCGACCACCAACAGTTTGAAATTTTAATTCACGTTCTTTCTAACGTTTGTGTGTTAACACTAAACCAAGTCTGATGATGGTACGAACATTCATTTCCAGAATTTTCCCAAACGTTTTCAACAAACTATGTTTTTTTTTTTTACACCGAATTTTGAGAAAAAAAAACCGCCCAAAATCGTTTCATCCATTGAATTTCCCGAAGTACAGCTATTTCAGCATGTACCGGTAACAATTCCCAACATCTTGCAGAAAGGATAGAAAGATATGCGCAGCATAACGCGTTCACTTGAAACAACACTGAACAGAAGAAACACGGTTTTTTCGCTTTGGCAAAATCTTCACGCTAAAGACGGCACATAAAACGTCTTCTTATACAAACCAACGTTGAACGCTTTTTTCCAACGAGGGACATCGAGATAGAAGAACAAAAACTATTCAGCCATACGCCGCTCACAACCATAATAAATCAGGGGAAAAAATTAAGGTATATTAGTAACACCGACGCCAAAAGAACACCTATCAAGGAGAGCCAAAAGACGTGAGTTAGTCGACGGGAGGTGCCTCTAGCATTTCCTGCAAGACAGCATCCATCGGAGTGTCCCCGATCAATTTGTAAAAGAACAGATGTTCCAAACATTTCAGTCCAATGGATCTCAAAGAAGGGAGTCGAAGGAGCAGTTTCGCGAATCGCCCAGGCTCATGCGAATAGGCCTTACGGCAGTAATCTTCCAGCGCAATGAACACCTGTTCCCGCAGCAACTCAACCCTCTGGGTTGACTTGAGACCTTTTGCACCTATAATAATCAGCCTTGTTATCCCTGCCACATTTTTCAATATGATATGAACATGATACGTATTTAAAAATAATCAGAACCAGTTATTTTCCTTTCGAAAAGTGAGAAAAGAAGCGGGTTTGTTCTTTCAAATTTTGATTGTGTATTGCTGGAATAACAGTAATAAACCATTCGACTTGACCGAACTAGATGAAAGAAAAAAGTGGAATGCCTGAAGTCAAACCTCACAAGAAAAAAAAACTTTATTACGCATTTGTTTTCCGGAAATTTAGTCGCACAGATTCTTCAGGAATATTCGTTTGTTCTTTAAATCATGGATGCACGCGTTCAGAATTCGTATGCTGTGAACAATGAATATTTTATTGATCAGAATGGGCGCAATATTTTGATGTTTTGAATCTCTAATGACAATTGATTTGACGGGAGTATGTTGAATACCGTCATGGGAAAAACTGTCAAGATGGTTACTAACGATTATTTGCAGAATAATCTTGATGACTTACCTGAGTTGAATAGTACAATCGCTCTCAAACAGCCAAGTTCTGTCTTGTCGATTTTCATTTCCCGCATTTTCGACACGAGCTCAGACAGAACCCGATCAAAAATCGCTTCAACGCCAGCACCATGGGCGGACTGGCGTTCAACAAGCAATCCAGAGGCAAGAATGATTCCGTTTTTCACGTTCACGGATCGATGAGCAAAAGCAGCGATCAGCAATTCATTCCATCCTAAGAAACAATCCGTCAAAATAAAATTTGATTCTTCGGCGAATACATAAATTATCATAAATAATCGATGCAAACCCGCACGAACGAGACAGACTTGATCCTCAATCGGAAGCTCACAAAAATGCGGAACTCGCTTCGCCCATTCGACAAGCTGGACGACTTGACGATCTGCTGAATGACTTAATTCTGTCAGAGTCTCCTAGAACAGGGATACACTATCAATCGTACGTTCCATCAAAGTTTTCGATTAATTAACAAACCGGCTTAATGTCCGGTTTCTGCTCATCTAAATAATCCGCGCAATGCTCAGCATCCAAAATTTTCTCAATCGGCATTTCACAAATGGCTTCTACAGAATTTTCGCCGTCTCCCGACCCATCACGTTCACGAGTGCGCTGTCGCTCTTCCTGGACAGCTTCTCGACGCATTCCCATATTCAAACATTTCTTGTAGCGGCAGTATTGACACCTATTACGCTGACGTTTATCAACGGTGCATCGTTGGCTTTCCCGACAGGAATAAGTCAGCTCTTTTCGGACGGTTCGTTTGAAAAAACCTTTGCAACCTTCGCAGCTGTCAACATACACGACAGAGCCTCTTTTTAGAAAATGACATACAGCACAGGCACAGTACAAAGCTGGAATAAAAAACGAAAGTGTCATAAAAATATGAAGATAACACTGCATCAAACATTGAACTTATCGAGATGAAAATCAAAAACGAAATTCAAAATACAACAGAGTCAGAGGGTGATATACACTACTGGAGTTCAATAGGTCTTTCAAAAAGTTGACAGAATGAAGTACAAAGGTTTCATACTTCAAATGCATATCAAACCTGTGGACTCCGTAATGCTTTCCACTCGCACGATCACCACAAATCGCACACAAATGCTTCGAGCCGGACAAGGGGTGATTCGGGGGATACTGCGAGCTTTCTCCCTCGACTTTCAAGAAGGCTGACGACTGTGACAGGAATCCGGGAGCACCATGTCTGTTACTGAAACGTGAGTTACTTCAAAGAATAGCACGCGTTTCATCAGAACGACGGAAGAAATAGACAAACCTGACGAATTGGGCAGCACTCGACTGTGGAGGCATGGACGCCTCGGGAGCACTCAGAGGCATAGCTATACCCAAGGCACCTACACCGAATCCAACACCGTCCGGTTTCATACTTGTACAGTAAACACGCGATTAAATTCGAACCGCAAAAAATAACTTTTCATCGCATCTGTGAAAAAAAACAGTTCATTCATCCGCGAAAGTAACTGAAAAAAACACGTTCAACTTGAGAGATATACATCTGGAGTTATTTCGGAAATGCTATTATTTCACGAAAGAAAAGGCCTCCCAATGCAAAATATTTCTCGAATGGATCGGCTCAATCGTCAATTGCAAAAATGTCCTTTCTTGGAAAAAGCAACAATAAAAAAAAACTCGATCAAGCAAAGCACCGGAAAATAACACGTGTTTCTTCTCAAGCCTCAAGAAACCAAAAGCCAGTCTCCATCAACGTCTTCTGTTCGCTCCACCTCCCCTTCCGCAAGCACAGTGAACTCCGCAGCTTCCCCGCTGTCGGTCAGCGAATAATTCAGCAATCGATGTAAGTGGATTGCACCAGCTGTATCCACTACCCACAATTTATCGTCTATCGATACTGAAAATTTGGGTACAGACCCGCAGATTAGCAACATCGACAGATATATAACGGCAAAAAATACTTCTAGAGATGTCAGCAATGTCAACCATTTAATCGAATACCTGATATATACGCAGCTGAACCACAAGGGATTTTCTTCCAGTAATCGCCAGCAAAATTATTCGATGAAATTCCAAACCGTCGCCATACCTCGCCGGTGAGAGAAAGTGCCCAAACCGTCGTCTCACTGTATATGAAAATAAAATAGAATAGCAATTCGTTTGACAAGTTCGAAGAATTTCGGATGCAAAACGAGAAGTTTATCTTCACGTCACCAAGCTACACTAGTAACTATTGTATTGTAATTGCAAAAGACACGATACCTGATGGATATGTGAACAGCATCGACACCTAGAACAGGAACCCAATTGACGCCGATCGGGAGATCGGGAAGCACAGCAGCTCTCACGTAGACTCTATGCTTCGAATCTATCGCCCAAACCATATCGTTTCTTGGTCCCAGGAAGATTTCTTTGAACTGTGACATCGGCGCTGGCGCGCTGCCTTCCTCAACTGGCACCCAAGCTGGAGGTAAATTAGCCGTTGTGGTTGGTTTCAAGCTTCCAATGCGCATCCAAACTCCTCCCCGAAAATCAACTCCCCAGACCACCTCCGACGAAATCGATATGCTAGTAAGAATATCATTTCCTAGAAAAACACAAGTAAAGTCGTGTAACAAGCGGCAAAAATGACATGAAACGGTTACTACAGTATCTTTACGGGTGCAAGAGAAAATCCCGCGGCTCGAAAATTCGTAGGCCTAAAAGTTTTGCGGCGTCCAAAAATCCCGAAACATGAATTTCTTCTCCAGAAAAATCCCCTTCGATAACTACATTAGGTAATGGTGTGTACAAAATTTCTGAATCTTCGAAAAATTCTATAAATGCAGTTTGATAGTGATATTTCATTCGGTCAAATTTCAAGCTGAATATTCAATGAACAGTTCATGATGAATACTATAAAAACACATACTTAAAACGCAAAAAGTTTTCAACTCAAAAATATTTCCACCCCAAGACCATGGAAGAATAAATGCAAGTGTAAGTGCAAGATAGAGAAAGCCATAGGAGAATAAATGCAAGCGCACTTGTTCTTCCATGTCCTTTGGGTGGAAATCTTGTTGAGTACTGAAAATGTGTTTTATGCTATTCCTCATGCAATGTATATTGAATATTCAGATTGAAATTTTACCGAATTAAACATCACTATGAAACTGCATTTATAGACTTTTTCGATAATTTAGAAATTGTGTTCACACCATTACTTAATGTACAATAGTTATCGAAGGGGATTTTTCTGATACAAAAATTAATGTTTCAGGATTTTCGTTCCAGCGCGATTTTCGGACCCCGCATGATTTTTGGGCCAACGGGATTATCGGCCTTACGGGATTTTCGGGCCGCGGGATTTTTTTCTCTCACGGGATTTTATCATGGAGCCATCTTTACACAACTTTGACCCATCAAGCAGAACAGGTCAGCATTGTACCAGCTGAAGTAATTCGAAGATCACCTTTACGACAAAAGCACAAAAATAAACCGACCAACAACTTCTACCGAACTGCTCACCGATTTGCGAAAGGTCCAAACGAGACCACGAATGTCCTTCAGGACAACTCGCGCTAATGCCAGCACGTATGTAAATTTTTCTTGAGGATGTCAACATCCACAACGATTCCGGACCACTCGTTAACTGAAGCACCAATTCTTCGTCTTCAGGCAAGGGTATGTGCTATAAGATAAACACCAATTGGGCAATGAAAAGTTATTCTAGAAGTTTTTGATTTTTACGCCACACACATTAGGTCTTGATTTAGATGACCCGAACGCCTGGTACGTGAAGACCTTATCGCCACTTTGGGAAAGCAGCCAAAGTACTCCATGTTTCTTGTAAACGGAGCCAGCTTCCAGAACTTTCCACCGTACACTTTGCAGGCCTCGTATTTCAATGGGGATCACACGATGCCCTGCAACAGCAGGAAATCGTAAAAAAAAAAACAAGAGTTACATAAATTAGCTATCTTCTTTTGTCTTCGAAGAATAGAAAGCATTGCGAGATTATTCAAGTGAGGGAGTCAATTTGCAGAACAAAATAAAATATTCCACATAGAAAACAATAAATTTCGATGAACACAGACCTTGATATCAAAGTCGGAACTCTTTTAAACATGAGAAACTGAAATTTAAAGCAACGAAAGCCAAATTTTTATCAGAAGATGTTAATTTCTACATCCTTTGTGGGTGTCGCGTTAGACCAGGTTCACGCACCATAAAATTTAAAAATCCCACATGTAATTTAAACCTCGAAATTACTTGAAAGCGGGGACCTCGAAGGACAATGACATATTTCACGAAAAATAACTGGCGCCGAACTTCATGCAGACCATGACGACAACTCGTCATGATCAGTTGAACAAGCCTCGTACGCTTGAATATCTTGGCATCTTCTCGACACATTCATTAATCTTGAAGGCGACTCTAAAGGTAATAACAATTCTCTAAATAAGAGGCATGCTGAACCTAAAAATACACATTCTATAAAGCACACCAACAAGACGGAACAAGCGAAGAAAAATACTGTCAAGTGAACACGGTAAGAGACGGACAGTATAAGCCTACTACCAAAACACTGTACATCCGACGATTTGAACGGACCTTCCTGAATTCCGATAACAATTCAACGAGAAAAAAAAACCCTGACGCCATTAATCTCATTTGATACTCAAGATTATGATATCACAAGTTTTCCGAGAGTAATGTATTATTAAAAAGTAGCATTACAATAAGCACATCTGTTCAACAAGTTAACAATGCGATTTTTCAGCGAACACTTCCAGCTAGGAAAACTAGCACTAGAATAAATCCGGAATTTTCATTTCAACGCGACAGTTCGTATAATCGCTAATCACATCCTACAATTCTTGCACGCACAAGGACGAGCGAGTTCGTCGAACCAAAACGCGGCCTTGGCGCTCTTTACGCTCCAGGGTATTAACGGAAGCTTTAATATTAAACAATGGGTTACCAAAAATATACTGTATTCCATAATTACTTCGTTCAAAAAACACGACATAAAATCCGAACAATAAAATGACTTCTGCACCATCGCAATTTAATGCCGGTGTTAGGTGACGATTGCAAGAATAATTTGTGGATACTTTTTAAACACGTAGACACATAAGGAATACAGTAGAGGTATTACACTCGTCAACGGATATAATGCCACCATAAATACCCACTTCGTAGACCTTAATGAATGTAAGAAAATAATCCGTTGCTCTAACACTCGAGCATTCAATGTTCGAAAAATAGAAGCAGGCATACCTTGGGACCACGTCATTCAATCTATTATTATGAATATGACAGAAAAACAATCGATGTGGTGCCTTGGTTAATGGACTTGATGCTTTCCAAAATACAAGTACTGTACTTTAAAAGAATACTGTATTCTAACATGGAGTAATGTAAAATTATGTCCGGTTACCCAAATTCTTTCCAAATTACTAAAGAATTATTTCCTAAATTCTCGAATGATTAAATTAGAAACCTATACTCAACACAAGAAAACATCGAACAGAAACAAGCAAAACAAGGTTGAATACAATCCAGAATATAACATTGATTAAACCTACTAGATAACTAGAAAACTGGTCTTTGGCGGTCACATCTTACAAAACTATCTAATTTTTTTTTAATCGCAACATCTTCAATATAGTCTATCTGCCGAATCAGGGTCCACTAAAGGAAGTAAAAATTTGCGGTAGTCCGAGTCCGTCATGCAAGGAATTCAATAGCAGATATACCACTATATAGTAAAAGAAAAGCATGACGACGAATCCAAAAAAGGATTCACGAGAAGAACAGTCCAAAATATCGTAAAAATACACTTTCAACGACATTCGAAAAAGAAATATCAGTAGGAACTAGAATCTCGTTAGAACGAATCTCCCTTCAACAAATAATTCCTTACAACGAAGTCGTTTTTCAGGTCCCCGCCCAATAGCCATAGTAATAAATGAGTTACAGTACTGTACTTTATTAAGCATTTTCTGTTGCAACGAAAGGCTATTTTACGGATTCCAATGGCTTCGTTGTGACGAGATTTTACAGTACTTCCATCACGACGCTTCGATCGATTTAAACTCACCACTAATTGAATTTTTGGAGCAGTGAATATTTGAGGATGCTCCCCACGCAAGCCAGACCTTCTGGTTACTCGCCGCGACCACGGGCATGTGCGGCAGGGATGTGAAGATTGCGGCACGCTGCGATGGCAACCACTTCGCACCGGGAAAGCTCGTGCCACGGTCTCTCACTCCAGCCCTAGCATCCGGAAACAACAGGGATGCAAACTTGGAAGAGGAAGCCCCAGGAAGCAACGCGCCGACGACAGAAACCTGTGAACACGAAATTGGAACGCGAGGGATCTAATGAGCTCTGCAACAAACTGATGCACTCGTATCGCGCATCCTCGCAAGGATACGCCCCGGAGTTGATCACTCCTACTTCAATTACCATGAGAACAGTGGGTTCCAACCCGCGCTCCTCCGACCACACAGATGAAGTTGAACCCCCATAACTCGAACCTGTCCAAGTCGAACACCTCTCTATGAACTTTTTTTTTTTAAGTCTCCCTGTCTGAATTCCCTGAGAATCAATGCACTGAAATCCTCCCTCAAAGGCTTTCCCCTCAAACCTTCATAACTGAAAACTTTCTGGGGGCCTTTTGGCAATTATTTCATTGACACAGGGAATAAAATGTAACCTGATGTTTTTTGGAGTGAAGTGAAGACTAATTGGGCAAATAATTCCTTATCTTCAAGATCAGCATCCTGTCAATTCATTAATTCTGCAGTTTAAGGCCGAAAAAATCACGTATTTTAATTTCCTGAAATTCTTTATATTCGTTTCCAGCCAGGAAATATGTCTCCCGAATTCGGAACCTCCTTAAATCGGATTTTTTGGGGGTCCCTTGAAGTTCGACTTCACATTATTAGAAGAAATAACATTTGAAGGCAATAAAATAAATGATAAACAATGTAATATTGTTGTGTAAATAATATATGAATCATGAAGAGAGATGGGCTGAGGACAGAGGGCTGGTGTCCGGCATTGTGTCCTGTCGATCAGCTTTTTTTCCCATGTGGTCACTTGAGGGATTAAGCAGGGTGGAACATTCAAGAAGAAATGATATTTGGTCACAGGCCTCAGGAATGAGCGCCAGGCACAATGGCTAAAGACCCCTCAAATTGTACAGGAAGTAAGAGGGTACTTCAGAAAACGGGACAACGATTTTGCTGTAACCTCCAATTGTATAGCATAAGAAATTTCTTCAGAATTACCCAAGAGATTTCACAATTGCCTGTTTCCTTGCCCTACTAAAGATGTGCCTCTTTTGAATGATGTTCTGCTCTGTTCACCATTGAATTTGCTTTGATCTGTACTCGGTGGCTTTTTTTGTGTATTTTACAACAGGATTCAAAGGCATTCGCTTTGTATCAATGACGGACTACGGTGCAGCCTTTCATGGCAAATTGGATCAAACTGAATTAGGTACATTACAAAGTACCGTACACAATTTTTGGGTTTCAAACATGATTTAATTAAAAAATGACACAAAACCAAATATTGCATCTGCAATACTGCCGAAAATGCTTTGAGCTTGGTTGAAGAAAACACCATCTGACTGTTCCTGAAGATCGAATTGTTGCGCGCAAACATCCGGAAGAAACCAGAAAATTAAGTATGGTTAGGCCCATTAAAAAATGAAAGGAGCAAGAACGACCCCCTCCCACCCTAACAATGTAGGGATAAGCTGATAGGAAACCATTCCTGAAGTCCGGAGGGCCAACGATACGCGCAAGGCAGGGAACGCCAACAACTTGAGCGGTCCGCAAGACTAGGACGCGAGAACGCCATCAGGAATGAAACATTCAAATTCGATAATCATTAAATTGTAATTTTCTGGATTTAACTGAAGGGTACAAACACGAAAACTCTTCAGAGGTGGCAATGTATGGTGCTGAATTCCGAATTTCCAAGAAATTTATTTTCTACGAATAACGGGAAATCCACAATTACAAGAAGTTCGTTACCCTTGTTTGTACGCACGCTTCACCTTAAATCACGAAAAGGTAAAAAAAATAGACTCACCTCCCACCACACATCATCGCCAGCTGGATGTTGCCGACAGATTCCCTGGGTGAAGAACAAGGCACCATTCGCATTTGCCGCAAATGCAGTTCTTTGCGGGCCAAAATCAAATGCCAGCACCGGTCCAGGTATTTTTTCTCCCGCGGGAGCCCATTCCAATCCCATCGGGCGCTCTCTAGATACGCCGATACGGACCCAAAGCTCTCCCCTGGTACACAGTGCCCATACGATTCCGTCATTCGCTTTGATGGAAACGACAACAGAAGTATCGCCGTCTTTCGTCGGCACGCCTCCGATTTTGATGGAACGCGAGAAAGGTACAGAAGGTGTGAGGTCTTTTTGTACTAGGATTGCGCCTGAGTCGAAACAAAGCCAGCCAACGCCTTGAGTACGATCCAGGGCTATGCTCGACACAACTCCTTGAATACAGAGATAGATGGGAAGAAAAAGCATGCAGATTAAATAAACAGAAGTGTCACAGTAAAATGCAATAAATGAGGGTTGTCCCATTTGGGCGCGACCTTCGTTATTTAGGAATCACTGTATGTAGGACTGTCCACTTATTTTTTTATTCAGCTCATGATGTTGTAACTTGTAAGATTCTGGGATTTTTTCGGATTCAAGAATTTCAATTTACTGCCTGATAATAAATGAAACGTTTCCAGTTATGGCCAGAATTCTACACCCATTTTACAGGGTGCTAGAAATCTGTCAGGCCGGCTGGAAATTTCTTTGTTGTTTCAATTATGATCTAAAATGCGGAAAACATAATGGTTAAAATACCAGAACAATTTCAATTTTTTAGCTGACCTTATCATTTTTATCTCCCTATGACACGGTAAGCTTTCAGTTATCATCTGGCATTAAAACTGAATTTTTGTATCCGAAAAAATCCCCTTACAACCTAGCAACACATGAGTTATATAATAATTATTTTAGTCATACCTACTCAAAAAATAACCAAGGTCGCGCCCAAGTGGGACAACCCTCACATGTATACAGTACAGTATACGTACAATAAATACAGCATTTACTGTACAGCCTTAGGAACAGTGCATACTGCCAAACCTTCATTTAGTGCCATCAGCTGTCTCCAGAATAGTTCTGACATTGAGATTAGCATGAACAAAATCATAACTGATCAGACATAGCCATTTAAAAAGTGTGCAACACTTGTCAGTGGCTTCAAGCCACTGATACTGACCTGTAGCCAGGTTAAATTCCAACTTAAATTATTAGAAAAACCTGTGTAATGCACTACTTCTTTGATTTGATGAAGTGAAGTATTGAATCCATACTACAGCAAATATTTGGCTCCATTTTCCAGGGAAAAGGAGCAGAATTACAGTTTGAATGTATGTACCCAAAATCATGGAAGAGAAAAAAAGTATAAGAATAGAAAAAAAATTCTGCTATAAGATAAGCATTTAGGAAATGCACCCACGTGATTTGCTGGCGATTCGTGGGACTACCCCTACACTGTATGCATGTAAGAAGCAATGAAATTTCCGCAATACAAATGCATTTTCTCCTCATCTTTTAGATCTTTCTTGAACAGACTCTCCAAAATCAGACTGACTAGCATCACGAAAATACGGCATTAACGATTTAGAAAATTTCGCTTTGAAATCAGTGAAAACTACATACGCATGCGTTGCTACAACAAACTTGAAGAAAGAATAGCCAACCTTCGTCAGTGTCTTCACTTCTAATCCATCGGATTCCGCTGATCGAAACCGGATCTATTTTAGGTTTGAACAAGGCGTGCACAACTCCGCGGTGAAGTCGCCAGATTACGCAACTAGTGCTGGTTGAAGTGACTGACACTTGATCTGCTTTCCACGAGATCTTGTTCCACTTGAGACCCAGACCTTCATACTGACTGACGAAGACATTGCTTGACTTTGTACACACGATCACGAGTTGTTCACAAACAGTAAGAGAAATCACACGGCTGCCAGGTCCTGGAAATTCTGCCCAATCCGTTCCTATTCCTGGAACTTCCGCCAATTGTTCCCGAACAGATTCTTGGTCCAAAATCTGCAGGAATACAGTAACAAATACAATCGTCACGACGAAAATTTGTAATGAATCAATCCGACTTTTTTTTTTTTTAATATATATACAGAAGACAACACGGAGATTGAAACCGTTGAACGTTTAAGCATGATAATCCCGGAATCCGGAGGAGTAATACGGTTGACTGCTTTTCAATTACGGTATGAAATGTCGTTCAGAGAAACGTTCAGGAGCATAAATACCAAATTTTGGGGAATACAAACCAAGGGTTCATCAGGAATTGAAGCAGCACGACTCGCAATAGAACTGTCATCTCGTGACGGAGGTCCATAAGTAAATTCGCAAGAATCCTCGACGTCAGATTCGATTTCAACATCAGGTAATCGAAAGCTTCTACGATCCAAATCCGGGGAAGAAGAACGCAGCTCTCCCGAAACCACTTCGGGCTCAACGACGTCTTCCTCAAACGGAGCTCCAAAGTTAACATCTATCAACTTTCCCAAAAGATCTTCCTTCACAGCAATATCACTTTCCGCGAAGTTACCCGAGAAGACGGGAAAGACATCGGTTTCTTGACAATCGGAATTGTTGCCCACTAATGTTTCTTCGCACTGCTCTCGAGGATCATTCGAATTTTCGCTCTCTGGAGTAGACGAAAAATAATAATCAAATTGAATGCATTTCCCGCAAATACTTTAATTACATACCCTGGTTTTGCTTTGGTTTCTTCCGCCTTCTATCACCATTCCGAATAACGCGCTGAACGGACAATTCATCTTCCTGATCAGACTCTTCCACTTCTGTTTTTTCTTTGGAAAGAACAGAATCTCCCGAAGGATTTAGGCCTAGCACACCAATGTCGTATCTTTCGGGAACACGAGCCGATGCCGTTTCGTTTCTAATTAACGAACTTTCAGCCCAATTGAAAAGTTTCTTTGAAGAACGATCAACAAACTCGTCCAGATCGATCACCTTTTCAGTAGCGAGAACAAGTTTTTCCAGTTTTGTCCGAACCAAGTGCAAGCCCCACGAAGAAAATCCCGTCGAGTCCGTTTCGATCACCACAAATTTTTGATTCTCCGCGCAACATCCACTTGCAATTCCTGGAAAACGAAACTAACTCGAAGTACCGTACGTATGTAGCAACACATTCAAGAATACTTACCAGATAGAGAAGAAGAAAACAGGCGAATTTGGTTCCCTGTCAGCACGACAATTTTTCCCCCATCGGAGGATAAATCGTCAATTCCGTATGGAATTTGTACAGATTCAAAAACCGCCGGAATGCTTAAGCCAAGAATATGAAACCAATAGCGATTCCATGAAACAAGCTTTCCCTCATCAACATCGAACCATGTGCAATGCTCCAATTGTTTCTCGGTTTCTCTCTTCGCATCTTCGTCGATCAGATCCTCTTCCCCGAGTAATTCCTAAAATATGTCAAGAGGCGCTATGATTCCAATCTAAGTACTTCGGAATGCAGCGGAGTGCGGTAGTAACACTGGAAGACTGATCTTCCCCATGCGGAAATGAATTTTACATATGTCAAAAACGTTGCAAGGATCTACAAGAAAATTTGCAAACATGGCACAAAAAAGCATTCAAAATACTGCCGTCTAGCTCAAAATGATGGGATTGTCAACATATCCTTCTCGATGATTAATTATTTAATTTTCAACATGAAACCGGTCGTCAATCGTCTAATCCTATCATAGAATCACCCTGAAGCAACAAATTATGTCTTACCCTATACTGGTATGTTTCTTGAACTGCGCCCGAACTGTCTGCTTTCCACAATCTGAGACCTGGGCGGCAACAGTAAACCTCTATTTCAGCATTAGGCGAGAGGTTGTTCTCAGCTCGCAACAGTCCCCCATGATTCGAAGCGCTGTTGAAGTATGTACTGGATATTTTACGAACAAACCACGAATATGCTTCAAACGCTCACACTTTTCTTTCTTTAGTTCCAATTTGATTACCCTTGCAGGAATGCTGAAATTTTTGAATCTGATCCAGAAGCAGCAATAAACTTCTACGGTCCGACGACACAAGAAGTTTCTTTTTCAGGTAATCCAGCTGAACAATACGGTGGGGCTCGCAAATCAGTAAGCACGATTCTGGAGCATTCTGCACAATCGTTTCATAATTGAAGAAAATATGATCTCCCGAATACTTAGCGTGGATCTCACAGCATCAAAATGTATCCTCGTTTGAAGTACAGCTCCGTTGGCATCACCGGAGAAGAGGTACTCCCCGTTAGAACTCCATTTTAAAGCAGTGATCGCTACATTGTGAAAACCTTGAATGTTGAAAATTTCCGTCTAGAAAAAAAGAACAATAAATTAGCGGTGAACGCATCTCTAGTAAATAAAACTGACCTTCGGTCGTGGATCACCGACTTTCCGAAACTTCGGAATTTGAAAAATAGTAACATTTCCTTTCGAACTTCCTGAAGCAACCATGAAGTCCACAGTTGATTCCAACGCAACAGCTGAGATGGGAGATATTCGATCCTGAAACGAAGAGTTGATCATTTACATGTCGGAACAGCCAGCAGGCTTCCACAACTTACCTCACAGCGCAGTTTATGCATTTCATTGTTCGACCACGAAAAAAAGTACACCAGTCCAACGCTGGTGCCAATCGCCAAACTCTCATCACGAAAGCTTATACAGTTAAGGAACAAATTGAACAATTCTGAACCCTGGTAAACCTTCTTCGGGATCTGTTTGGAAAGCCACTGCAGGGAGACTTCCCGAAAACCGTGAACAGTAACGATTTCAGGCCTGTTCGTCATCGCATTTCGAGCACTACATGGATATTAGCTTCACGACACCGCTCCATCTTCTTCAATCGCTGAATTTAAAAACACGGCAGTAGCAGCCAGACTGTCTGCAAAGAAAACATCAATACAGCGTGGAATTCAATCGCATTCAACCACACGGAAGAGAACATGGGTTCAAGCATTCGGCATGGACATGACACGATGACCAATTCCAGAATTCACAACCCACACTCCTCCTTCGAACTAGTCTGCTCCGCTTCGGCTACCTGGATGTTATGACCATAGTAAGGGCCTCCTACCGGAACCCCTTAGAGCGACACCTACTAACAACAAAAAGTAACTCCCTTAGCCTGATCACTTGCCCACCTGAGTTTAACCAACAGGAAGATGGTAATCTTGATCAGAGGAGATGCGGAGAGGACCAGGAGACTGAGGAGTCACTTCGCTTTGGACTTTCGAACCATTGACTACTATTTTTTATTGTGTGACGCGCGAATTGACTGAGTGTTTGTGTTGCTGCCATCTGAACGGAGTACGGACTGAGAATAAATACTCTGTGAATCTAGTGCCCTGGCGGAGGACTTATTTATAAAACCTTACTGGGGGTTCGTCCGGTTTTCCGCTGATCCAGCCAGAGGCACTGAGATGGTACGCAACACGGAAAATTCGAAAGCTGCGGCACTTCCTTACTTAGTGCCCTGGCGGAGGACTTATTTATAAAACCTTACTGGGGGTTTGTCCGGTTTTCCGCTGATCCAGCCAGAGGCACTGAGATGGTACGCAACACGGAAAATTCGAAAGCTGCGGCACTTCCTTACGTGCCACCTGCACCCGTGTTGGACCCGCAAGCAGCCCCTGCCGGGGATGCAACCGAATCCACGGAGCAGGCTTCACCAGCACCGTCGCGGAGTTTCCCGCAGATCCCGTCCACGCCAGATGCGTGCAGCACTTGGGATAATGTTCCGCTCCCCACTCTCCAGTATCTAGCGGAGGCATATTGCCTGGGAGCATCTCTCGACGCAGACCGAGCGACCTACGTCACCCTCTTGGAAAGGAATCGGATCCCCGCGTCGATCGCTCAAGGATGGATACCTCCCCCCGGCTGGCACCTTCGGCCACTGGATTTGCAGATCGCGTCCAGGCCTCCAACCCTTACTCAGGAGATCGTCGTGGTACAACCGCCAGCCGTCCATCCTCCGTTCATGCTACCAACGTATCGACCACCGGGTGAGCCTCAGTTATCCGATTTACCCCGCCAACGCGACAACGAATCCTTCGAAGATTACGCGGACCACCTCCGCCGCATGCCCGCAATCAACAATGTCTCCGCCGACATGAAGGTGTGGTGCCTGTTAAATAAGACACACACCCTCGTCAGGGAGACCGCATCTATTTTTAATCCTTCGAAGATTACGCGGACCACCTCCGCCGCATGCCCGCAATCAACAATGTCTCCGCCAACATGAAGGTGTGGTGCCTGTTAAATAAGACACACACCCTCGTCAGGGAGACCGCATCTATTTTGTATGGACGCGGCGTCGTAGAATTCGAAGATCTCGTTGCTGCAATAGCTGTGTCTCATCCCACCCCCCATCTCGACCGTTTGGACCGGTTTCGCCTACTCCGCCCGCAAACCGGCGAGAGTTACGTCAGCTTCGGGGGCCGACTCAAGCACACGTTGGACTCGTTTCTGGCTCCCCCACGGCAACCAGTATCTGCCGAAGCCATCAAACACAAGATGCTGATCGAACAATTAATCCTGGCAGCTCCTACCGGATTGCAGGACGAGTTGCGCCGGAAGTGGATCGACAACCGGGACTGGACGTGGTCCGAGGCCGTCGCGGAGGCCGAGAAGTACAGGCTACATCACCACGCAACGTCACGCAGCGGGACCAGTTTGCGATCAGCTCCAAAGCAGTCAACCGGCACCGCACGCCCGCAGAGACAATGGTGCGAAGCACATCAGGCTCACGTGCGGCACTCCCCTCAGGAATGCAGGATCCTACTACGTCAGCAGGCCCGCAGTCAGTCGCAGACCTCCGACGCAGCTACTACAGTACCGCCGCAGCGGCCCAATCAGAGCGGTACAAATCAACCCGCATCTACCAGGGAAGGACTCTGCTTCCATTGCCATGCTCCAGGCCACATCGCGAAGTATTGCCCCGCCACGTTTCAGGGAAACGGACGACCGCCACAGTGAACGCGGCGCACTGTGTGGATACAGACCTCGCCGCACCTCCGCCGATCATTTTACCATTGCAGGTTAGAGACCTTGTTATCCCTGCCCTAGTAGATACCGGCGCTTCCCACGCCTTCATAGCCCAGCGGCTCGTGGATTCTCTCAAACTCTCTCCTCAACCTTGTTCGGTTCACGTTTTGACAGCCCTAACATCCGATTCCGCTAAAGTAGCCCAGCAGGTAGTACTCGAATTTTTTTTCCGAGGATTGCAATACTCTATCCCCTTTTTAATCCTTCCTCACTTATCGGACCCCCCAATCCTCTTGGGCCGTACCGCTCTGCAGCATTTTCCCCTTGCCCTGACGATTGATGGCAACCGCGCGTTTGTCGGCTTCCAGCGTAGCATTCAGAACCGCGCGACACCCACCATGGCCATCGGCAAAGGTATTTCTTTTGTTGACGGTAGCTCCACCAAACGCGCCCAGATTGCCGAACTCCTGGTCAGCCACGCCGACCTGATCCACCAGTGGTCAGGCAGGCGCGGCTTTTTTCCAGAACATACGGTCACCCTTAAGGCAACCAGCAATAAAATCCCTAACACTCACTCGTTCCGGCAATCTACAGAGATGAATTCGCTCTTTGCCGCACTTGTCGATGAATATATCGAAGCCGGGATAATAGAACCCGCGTCTTTGCCTTACAACTCTCCTGCCTTCTTGACCGGAAAAAAGAATCCCGATCCGAATGCCCCTCCTCATCGGCGATGGCGGTTAGTGGAAAATTATCAAGGGATCAACGACATCCTCACCGACGACCGGTATCCGATGCCGGTTATTCAGGACCTTCTCGCTGCTTTGGGTCGAAATAACGCGTATTTTTGCAGCCTAGATTTACATTCCGCGTTCCATCATCTTCCAATCGCGTTCGAAGACAGGCCAAAAACCGCCTTTTGGACCCCGCGCGGTCAAATGCAATATCGGGTTATGCCATTTGGCCTGAAAAACGGTCCCGCAGCCTTTCAACGCGCAGTCAACCATATCCTGCAAAATTTTTTATTCGAGCGCTGTCTCGTCTACATGGACGACATCATTATATTCGGCGAATCTTTCGAACGGGTCCGCGAAAATCTGGCTCTCATTCTCACGGCCCTCCAAAATGCCGGAGCAGCGGTCGACATCGCGAAGTCTACATTCCTTGCTAAAAAGACCGTGTTCTTGGGTCACGAAATTGACCAAACCGGAACCCGCCCTTTAGAGAAAGATCTCGACGCCGTGCGCCGTTTTCCAAAACCTGTTACCACGCGGCAGATGCAACGTTTTCTCGGGATGGCAACGTACTTGCGCACGCATTTGCCTACGAATTTCGCGACAGCCGAAAAAATTCTCCGGCAAACTATACCTGCTAAACCCCTTACCAAACTCGTCTGGTTGGAAGACGCCCATATCGCGTTCGAGCATCTTAAGAACATCTTGGCGGAATCCGCGAGACTCGAGCGCATGGACCCNAGCACACGTTGGACTCGTTTCTGGCTCCCCCACGGCAACCAGTATCTGCCGAAGCCATCAAACACAAGATGCTGATCGAACAACTAATCCTGGCAGCTCCTACCGGATTGCAGGACGAGTTGCGCCGGAAGTGGATCGACAACCGGGACTGGACGTGGTCCGAGGCCGTCGCGGAGGCCGAGAAGTACAGGCTACATCACCACGCAACGTCACGCAGCGGGACCAGTTCTCGATCAGCTCCAAAGCAGTCAACCGGCACCGCACGCCCGCAGAGACAATGGTGCAAAGCACATCAGGCTCACGTGCGGCACTCCCCTCAGGAATGCAGGATCCTACTACGTCAGCAGGCCCGCAGTCAGTCGCAGACCTCCGACGCAGCTACTACAGTACCGCCGCAGCGGCCCAATCAGAGCGGTACGAATCAACCCGCATCTACCAGGGAAGGACTCTGCTTCCATTGCCACGCTCCAGGCCACATCGCGAAGTATTGCCCCACCACGTTTCAGGGAAACGGACGACCGCCACAGTGAACGCGGCGCACTGTGTGGATACGGACCTCGCCGCACCTCCGCCGATCATTTTACCATTGCAGGTTAGAGACCTTGTTATCCCTGCCCTAGTAGATACCGGCGCTTCCCACGCCTTTATAGCCCAGCGGCTCGTGGATTCTCTCAAACTCTCTCCTCAACCTTGCTCGGTTCACGTTTTGACAGCCCTAACATCCGATTCCGCTAAAGTAGCCCAGCAGGTAGTACTCGAATTTTTTTTCCGCGGACTGCAATACTCTATCCCCTTTTTAATCCTTCCTCACTTATCGGACCCCCCAATTCTCTTGGGCCGTACCGCTCTGCAGCATTTTCCCCTTGCCCTGACGATTGATGGCGACCGTGCAATTGTCGGCTTCCAGCGTAGCATTCAGAACCGCGCGACACCCACCATGGCCATCGGCGAAGGTATTTCTTTCGTTGACGGTAGCTCCACCGAACGCGCCCAGATTGCCGAACTCCTGGTCAGCCACGCCGACCTGATCCATCAGTGGTCAGGCAGGCGCGGCTTTTTCCCAGAACATACGGTCACCCTTAAGGCAACCAGCGATAAAATCCCTAACACTCGCTCGTTCCGGCAATCTACAGAGATGAATTCGCTCTTTGCCGCACTTGTCGATGAATATATCGAAGCCGGGATAATAGAACCCGCGTCTTCGCCTTACAACTCTCCTGCCTTCTTGACCGGAAAAAAGAATCCCGATCCGAATGCCCCTCCTCATCGGCGATGGCGGTTAGTGGAAAATTATCAAGGGATCAACGACATCCTCGGGCTGCTGGCCATAGGCTACGGCCAATAAGTCCTGGAAGAGCGACGAAACCCAGCTTTATTGCGCATAAAAACGTCGGATCTAAATGTAAGGCGCAAGGTAGTAGAAGGTTAGCGCAAGCTTCTG